ATCATAACTTGCACCTTTAGGTCACCTTGAGTAGTTTTCGCCAGCTTCTTTCTTTATAAATTATTTACTGGCGCCGCTAAGATTAGGAACCTGGTTTTCACAACCTTAATGTTTCCTATAAGAAGTAGACACCTTGCGGTGTAGCCTTGTCGTAGCTGTAACGTTCACTGGAGGGGTTAAAGATTTGTCATAAAGCGAAATACATCTCAGAGCGAATGCGCCTTATATGTAAGCGAGTACTGAGTACTAAGCTTTTGAGAACGGTTGTTCTGCGCTCGCAGCGTCTGTTAATAGTGTCGAGTTACTGTCGTCATTTACTTACCCAAGCAGAGTCCGGGAATCTTGAACCGTATTGAGTCGAAGATTTGATTTCCGGACTAATTTAAGACCACTCCCCGGAGTCGGCTGATTGATACCACAGTTTATTGGAGGGATCGAAAAATGCTACTGGCTAGCTCCTGCAAGTCATTGTGTAGGCCGTCCCGCCTCTAAAATGCTACCTTGATTTTGAACGGAGGTGGAATGCGTGTCACATCCCAAAAAGATTGACTGAGACCTAATACTTCACCGTTTATCCTTTTGATGCTGAAAGCGTGTTCACCTGCACATCTCCAAACAATAAGTTTGCACTATCCTGATTTCGCGCAGATTACCCTAGGGGTCGACAGGGTTTTGCGGAGGATTCGATAACCATAATTTTCCAGGCATCGATGGATCATGTTCCGGCGATTAATGATGGTGGGCTCATTGCTATATTTGATGCGTTGCGTTACCATGATCCGGGTACACAAGTGCTCTGGTTGCGATCCGTGAATTTCCTTTGTGCACAAAATTATGTGAGTTTTGTTTTCTCTACTGTGAGACACGGGTGGGTTACGACGGAAGTTGGAAGTTCGAGGCGGAAGGGGGAATTACATCACTGTCGAGGAAAGGCATGTTCTGTGAAGTAAGCGGGACGGGGCGCGTTTCGCTTCGGAGGAAGCGCTCGTGGGCCTAACAGAGCTTTACCCGCGGCACTGTACACGCCCGTCGATGGCCCCCAGCTGCTAGTCTCTCGCTGTTGAACTCTAGCCGTTTTAGCAGAAAATCAGAGCAGAGCGTTTGATTGATTGTGCATCAGGCCACGGAGACTCGCCAATGCGGGAACAAGCGAAATCAAATCAATGGTCATTTTGCTGCCTTTTAGGGTTTTTTAGTGTTTCAGTGGTCTTTTCCTTCGAAGCTTCTCACTCTTAGCGGCCTAGTTCCGAAGACTTGCTAATACAGAAATTAGCAGGAAATGATAGCGCCACTTACTACCCGGAAACCAAGGTCTCTTCGGATAAGCTGACCCTTGCATCCTTCACACCCTTAGTACTTGTTACCACGCTAACCTGACTTGAAAAGAAGCGCTAACAACCCCATCTCCTCTGTTTTCCACACGGCCCATGACATGCACAAGAAGCCAAGGAGGACATTATGATGCTTAATTTCTCCTTAATGAAAGTCGACCTGCGGTCTCCCGAACAAAATGATCAGTTGGAGGCAGGATCGACCTTCAGTCTTTTGTTCTAAAAAGGAATTCGCGCATTTTTGCTGAACTGCCTGGTCTTCTATGCCGAATATAGAAATGCGGTACCGTTTGACTTGTGACGCACAATTTGTTCAAACACATGAAGTCTTTCTTACGTCGATTTTTTGGCTGACTAAATCTTGCATTCGTATTCGTTTTCTTATGATTTGTCCAAAATTAGTTTTCGAATTTCCAAAGTTTGCTTTTTAAGGGTTTGAAATGCGACGTTTTGGAATGTAGGTACTGGCGTGGTTTGAGATGGGTCGGCGTAGGCCTAAACGTTCGTGGCAAATACACTCTCTGTGGCGACTACATCTATAGTGGCCACACTATTGTACTCGTTGTCAGCGCCCTTTTCATTGGAGAATGTAAGTTGTTTGTCGTTGGGTGGGATTTATACCAAATAGAGCATAAAGCCGTGAGTCTTTGAGTTCAGCACCGCCTTGAAAATTTCCCCTTTCGACAGTTTTCACCGCGATTTGTTTCAGATTCTCCTCGGCGATGGCGTATTTTGCACATATTCTCCTGGCTGGTCGCCCTCGTTGGTGTCGTATTTCTGGTGATCTCACGCGGTCATTACACTCTTGACGTCATTCTCTCGTACTTCATCTGCACTCGAGTTTTCTGGAACTATCACACAATGGTGGCGCATCCCACTATTCGGGTCAGTGAAGACATTATATAAGCTTTTCGCGTTCTGGGTCCTTCGGACGGCTTTGCCTTTGGAAGCTGCCAACCATACTCCACCGCCTGTTGTTCCAGTTCAAAAATTTTCGAGACTTTTTGAAGACACGGCTCGCAGTTGGGTCCTTAGAGGAATTCTTCCTAAAGTGAGGCAGCAGGATTTCAAAAGGCATTGATGGTGGTACTGCCGCAGATTAAAAGTGCATGATAAGAGAGCTAATGCTTTAGTTTGATCGCTGCGACCGGTGCTATTCTTGTTGTTAGCGCATGCGCCCCTTCACGCACGAAGTGCTCTCCTACATTCCCTCTCCCAGCTGCGCTTTCTCTCCGTCCTTCCACGGTGGACCTCCCACGAAATATTTCAGTGTTTTGCATGGTGCTGTTTGCCTCCCCCCAGTAACGTTCCCTTTTCACTTCTCATTTAATTTCCGAACCACCGATTCCATCGCGACCTGTGCCCTTTAAGGGAGTCTTGACACGACACCTCCACCATCAGCCTTGTGCGGCCGGAGAATGGGAGGGGGGGGAGGTGGCGCATCCACACCCCCACCCAATTATCCCTCCACCGCGCTGTTTCCTTGGTATTGTGAGTTCTTAGGTCCAAGCGCGTGTTTCCTTGTATTTGATTCTTAGACCAGTGCGAACGCCCCGACTCCTTTTCTGGCGCCTTTTACAATTTTCTCCTTCGCATGACGGCACCGAGCGAGGAGGGTGGGCGGGGAGGGAAGGGAGTAGATGTGTGTCGAAATGAGAGAAATACCTAATTTTCTCTATTTCATGCTTTTTCATGAGCTTTCTGCCAAAATCGTCAAATGTCCTGTCAACAACAAAAATCCCAAGTACGAACGTTCTCCAAGATTTCTCTGTGCAACGAACTTGTTAACCCTGCTTCCAAAACGTCGCAGTTGAGGTGTTTCTATCAAAAGTGGATTCCACGATAATGTCAAAAATCGAAGCAGGGAACCTACCTAGTGCTAAGGCCAGTCGGACTTCCTAGGCTGACACGACTTGACACGCACCTTGTGGCGAATAATAGGCCTCCGGCGATCTAGCACAGCCGTCCCCTTCCCTGTCGCCGCTGCCTGCCCACCCCTTTGTCGTCCGGCCCTAGACCCCAGAGAGAGAGAGAAAGATAGATTCGATCAGGCACATCCTAACGCGCAAATCAGTGGCGAAAAGGGCGGGTGCCATTTCTCGAGTTCCAGGCTGTTTTTCTTGGTTTTCTCTTCATTCCTAAACCACTGACCACTCCTACCTTAATTTTTTGTGGGCTGTCTTTTCTTCGTAAACTCCCCCTTTCAGAAGAGCCTTTTTAGCTATCAACGCAAAATCATCACCGCAAGGAGTTTTGGTTCCCGCTGTTCCGTTGGATGGAGTGCAACGTGTTGAAGCCGATACCGCGACGATTCGACTGTCCGTTGCCGATGGGTCGAATGCGATCTGTGTTCCGACGACGGGTAGCGAACGCACGAATCGAGTAGTGCAATGCCAAAAGGCGAGTCGCGCGGATCGCTGAAATGCCATTAATCGCGATCATTCCTGACCAAATCGCTTTTCCTTTTCAATAAATTTAGACTTAACTATCATGTGCATGCCATTATGCAGACCGGTGTAAGCGAAGCATTGAGGTGCTTAAGCTTTTGTCTTCAGTACCAGATTTGATTGACTTCGCAACTTATTAATATTTCTGACAATAAGCGCATTTTGTTGCTACATAGTAGTGTATTATACCGTAGTCATTTAGATTCTGGTTAGCTTTTAATCGATTCCATGGCAGATTTGAGTCTTTTGTTGTCAACTTTAACTGTGAATCGGAGGCTACTATGCTGCATCGAACTCCAAATTAGCGAAATCTTGAGAATAGTCTGATTTTATATTTTCGCAAGTTCGGTCAAAAACGGGCGGATATCCCGCTAGAACGCACCCGTTGCGTCGCAAGAAGGCGGAAGTCGTGGATGCGAGTCGCGTGCATGATGTCGAATTAAGACATACGGACATGTAGGACTTACAGTGTGACATCTATATTTAGCATTAGACGTGAACATTTCATTAGCAGTACACGTTCGACATTTGCCGTGACTGCCTTTTATGCCGGCGAATAGCCTCACTATCGGTACCCAAAATCGTTCTGCGAAACGAAGCCGCCGACAAGTCCCGCGTGCGCATATTGGTAATCGCCACGCCCTCGCGACCGTAACATGATGAGGCTGTCGCGTAGCCGCACGCGCCGTTTGACTCTCTTGCCAGCACCTTGTGAATTTTAGCAAACTCGCAGCTGTTTTTCCTGCGGCTTCCTTCACCTTTATGAGCATCGTTAAAGCGGCCCGAATTGATTTCTGTTCTCCTTCCTCATGTCATTGTACGGGCCTTATTTTGTGCTTGAATTGGCACGCGTAGAAACTAATTCTGTACAGCACTGTTTTCACTTACACCTTTCACAACTTAGTCATGTTTCCACTTTTCGATGATCTTCTCAATGGACCCTATGTAGTTTGATTATTGTATTCATATTCTAAATACTATTATATCCTATAGTAAAAAGCACACTGTTGCGACAAAGTCCTTCAATCAGTCCCTTAGTCTATTTCAGTGTGTTTGTGTTATTGTGTTTGTATATTATGAGTGGTCCATTCAAACACTCCCTTCATCTACGGCTACCGTATGCGTGCTACCATGCGTTTTGTAGATCGAAATGTGTCATTGCCTTAGATGTCTTCTTGTCACACTCACACTTTTATGTTCTTGCTTATGTCATTCTTGCCGTCTAAACACTCAGACGTTTGCCATTAAATATTTCATCAAAATGCTGTTCTAGTATTTACTGCCAAATAAGGGTAACTTGGAGCCGTATGGAAATTTTCCAAGAATCAGGAAGGGGGATGACCGTCAGCTCTGGTCTGCGATTCGCGCAGCGTATGGCCTCCTGCTCATCGACCCTTAGTAGGCTTGCTTATGAAGTCAAACTGCATCATCGACTCCTGCACATGGACTACGACTATCGTATGCACGCATCGTCAACATCGGTCATACAAAATGGAGGACAGGAAAGTTCATCAGCGGCGCGGACGCGAGCGTGTGCTGGTGACGTCACAACTGCGGCCAGAGCGGTGGAAGCACGAGCCAGCAGAGCCAACACCTCGTTCGAACTAAAACACGTTGGAGACCACGCATGTTTTACGTTTTGTAGCCGCGTGGCACTTCAGTGAACTTTTTTTAGAAATCTTATCAAGCAAATTGGAATGAAAAACCTAGTGTATGATGCAGAAGAAACCTTATCAAATGCGATGGAAAAGAAAATGATAGAAATGCGTAATATTTGTTTTCCGAAATGTGAGCCGAAAAGGTCCTAAGTCGGTTGACGGACTGTAGCCCACATATGCACGCGACCTCATAGTTCGGCCGATTGGACCCAGCGACTGGAGCGCTCGCGGATGCTCTCGATCGCGCTTGCCTCCATCGTTTGCCACTCGCATCTCTGTTCGCAGCGATTGCACGGCATTCGGCACTCGCGATTGCGCAATGTGCACAGCGACGGGGCGATTGGCCCGCCCCCAGTCGATGCAGTCGGCTGCGGTATCGATCGAGCAGAGCCATCGGCCGTCGCTTGTGCACTTTGCAAGCGATTGCGCAATCGCTTGCCAATCGCTCGACCGAGAGCGATTGGCAAGCGACGGACAAGCGATGGAGCGATCGCGATCGCTCCATCGCTTGGTCCGTCGCCGACTATGACGTCGGTCTATGGGCTGCGTGGACTCCAAGGTGTTAATAAAGTTGCTGGTTGGAGGTTCACTAACCCATACAATCAATAGTGGAGGAAGAGAAATGAGTGTATTACGTATAGATGCCATCCTTCCGTTAGAGAATAGGAACTTTTTGAATGTGTAATGTTCCAATTGCAGTACGTGATCCGTAATCATATGAAGGATTTAATATCCTCATGTGTAAACCCTTGAGTGTGCACAATCAAGCTGAAATTGATTCCTTAAGACCCCGTTATTAGATTTAGAATTCCTACCTACACCACTACTTACTACAAATCGAAGTTAGGTACGGTAAATGCCCAGAGCATATGTATTGAAGTGTTGGCGGTTATGCCAGCCCTTGCGCATTCCTTAACCGCCGCCTTGACGTCAAACGACGTCACCAACACGCGAACGCGTCCGCGCCGCGGGTGAGCTTTTCTATGGGGCTATGCGCAATTATTCGCTCTAGACGAGCTGAGATGAAAAAAGCGCAGTCCCTCTTCTGCTATGAAGATCCCCATGCTCCCAAGGAATTTTTAATTGGTGCCAGAAGCGTCCAGAAGAATAAAATTGCTAAGCTGCTCATCGGCTTGCCTCAGAGGTCATTTCCAAGGTCTAATGATTAATGCCAAATGATTCTGAAGAGCGCCACTGAAGTTCGTGGCGTATCTCAAAAACAAATTCGCCGAGGTTCGAAACTTATTGGTCTGTGATCTACAACAATTCGCACTCTATCTGAAGCAGTAATGATCAAATGCAGTCAACAAAAAACGCATTGGATTGCCCTCGCTAATACCCGGCGCCTAGATCTGGGACTTCCCATCCCTATTCTACCAGTGGATACCTTTGGGAAGCTATTAAAATTTTCAAGCTATAATAGCTAACACAAAAGAAGTATTCCGCAAAAGCCCCTATACTGTCATCCAAAGCCGCCCCTCTCTTCTGAAGCGCCATCGTTTCTGCATACTTCTGGCAAGGGAGCGCGCCACCATCAGCCTCAATTGATTCCTTATTCGTGTTCTCCCTATTCTGCGATAAGATAATGCAACATTCCTAAGCAAAGTAGACAGCTCATCTGAGTACTTCGTTTGAATTACTGGTATTAAAGGAAGCGATTACGATAAGGAAGGGCCCCATTGGGGGAGTATATGCGATACACGAAGCAGTTACTTGGCTGCAAGAAAGCGAAGTGTGGCGCTTTCACGGCGAAAGGTGTGCTGCTGATGAACGGGCAATTGGAGGGGGGGGGGGGGTACTACTCCGCATATTCTTGACGGACTCCTTCCCGACTGCTTTTTTCGCCATTGACGAACCATTAAGCACCCCCACGTCCCCTCCAAATTTTGTTATAATCGCTGCCTTTGAGGAGCAGTTGGATGAACCATATGAAGGAGCATTCCCAGTGCTTGAGTGTAATTATCGTTTTGGTCTATTATGAAGGTAAAGAAAGATCACTCCCTTACACGGCCTCCATAAAACGCCCAAGATAATTATTGTCCTTCATGGACGCATGAGCCGCCGTGTTTACCACCACTTTGTTTGTCACATTAACGGGTGTGATCACATGATCCAGACTAAACAAAAGAAATCTTTACCCGAAAGTTTTTGCATTCTTTCCCTAATGAGTAGGTCATTTGTGATTACTAAAGACAACATATGAAGTTTCACGCAAGAAGACTAAATTTCTGAGAGAGACAAAATTACGAAAACCACATTCCATGGACGCTCGAAGGTAGATCAGGCGGAATCAAGGGAACGCATGGAAAGAAGTGCCCCGGGACAGTCACCTATCAGGCCACGCATTAGTAATATCGCGGAGAATAAAGACAAACTGATCGATAGAATAGGATGCAGAAGAAAAAGAAATATTACTACCATTGAATAGGAAAGGCTAAGAGAGTTTCTAGTGAAGGCACTCTGAGAACCAAACGAATTGATCCCGTTGCCAACATTTGACAGAGGGAATTCGAATGCATAGGTGTCCTTTCGGGTTTTCGAATTGTTTGCAATACAAACACATTTTTTTTTGTTCTTCCATTCTTATCGTGAGTGATAGGTCTTGAGTCAGGATGGGGGACTAGGATCCAGTGGTAGTTCCGTGGACAAACTCTTCGCGGATTCGGCTTTCTTGCTGATACAGAAGCAGCTTGTTTTTGACGTTGTTGATACGCAATTCAGGGTACCTTTAATTCTGAATTGCCGCTCTCCATATGATTTAAAATTTGTAGGAAACCAATGAAACACAAAACTATCAATCGACTACCCATCCTTTGAAACAGTTTCACTACACTGGTCGAGCATGCGAGCATTATTACTAACAGAAATGATCCGTCGTGAGGAGCGCCCATACGGCTCTACTCGCGACCCTGCGCTTTGCTCAGCGAGACCACAGGTTATAGACCAATCTCCCCTCATCTGATAGCAGTGGATTGAGGAAAAGACGTTTGTTGTCCGGGTGGTAGTTGATACATGATTCAATTATTGACCCATGCGTGTTCATACAAACTACCATCTGTCCCACTATGAGCGCAGTGAAAAATTTCAAGCTACCTTTCATAAAAATTTTATTAGCGTATAACCACAAATGTGATAGACGAGATCAATGACAACAGAACGAAATCCAAACAACATTTTCAGCTGCGCTCTCGAAACAACTAGAGCTTACCCAGAATTTTTTTCTGAAACGCTATGAAACAGTTCAGCAAAGAAAATGTGACCGCGATAACAAATGGGGGTTAACAAAAATAGCCAGGCTACGAAGATCACGCAAAACAAGTACAAAAGTTCCATCAACTAAGGAAATTTTACGGTCATGGCTCATAAGAAGAGTATATTTGCCACAGTACGGGATTAACGCTAGAGACGAGAAGATGTAAAACTTTATCAGCTTGTTTATTTGATCTCCCCATAACTTAATTTCAACTATATAAAGAAGCCATCCGAAATTGACAACCACTTGTGTGAAATATTTGACATCAATAGGGGATGAATACACGACATGACCGAAATCGAATTCGGACTGTTACAGGTTCTTTTACAAACAAACACAGAAATATCGAAGCAGAACTTCGAATACCCTAAAAATGCAGCGCCAGAAAGCAAAGTCAGTACTGCAATTGGGCGATCTCCTGCCTGATCTTCTCACAGTTATCCAACAGCTGCTCTACATAAGATCTCTTCAGGTTGAGTGGTTTCACACGATCCTTCTTTGTTTGCAATTCTTCAGCGGTAATGTTAGCAGCGTTCAATACAGATTTTATAGAATCCCGTTTGTGCAAAAGAAGTTCTTTCTAAAAATGACTGCATCAGCGATAAAGTCATTTCTGCTCATTTTCCGTTTGAAAACAAAAACGGAAGGATAGAAAGCTGCAGGAAATCATAAACACCACCACACACGAAGAAAAAAAATTGGATAAACCATGCTAGACTGTTCACTTTTAATTCTAGTAAAGCTGGGGGGGGGAGGAAGGGCGATAGAGAACTGGAAATCGGGAGCGATAATGCCAATATTTTTGAGGAGCTTCGCTAACTGCAAGGGGGGACGCTAACTATAACAATTTGCGAAACTTCTCCAATTTCACGAAGTTTTGCTTCTTCATCCTTATATTCATAATGCTTCGCTTCTTCTTATGTTTTTATTGTATTTTCTTCGATTCATGTGCTACCTTTGGGCACCGTTCTAGAGCGTTTTTCAGAATCATGAGACTATCTGGTAGTAATCGAAGTGCCTTTGGGGGGCTACACAGAAGGTTGATAGAAGTTGCGCGGATGAGCTGTTGCCAGCATGCTTTTTGATATCCAGCGATGTATGTTGGAAGCAGCTTATCCACATAGCTTCTATCAAGTGCACGTCACTTCCGGTGACACGCCTACCCCAACTCTCAGATATCGAGTATACATTTCAAAGTAAACTGCAGTAATGGTAATTTCTGTGCCAGAAGTGAAAACTAAAGTTCCTTCATTACACTGCAGTTCAGGTTCTTCACATCAGCACAGTCCCATCTGCACGTGTTCACGAAGTTCACCTTGTGTGCCCCCCCCCCCCACTTTCTTCGCGAATTGGGGCTGAGCTGAGTGACTCTCGGGTGTCACCTTTAGAAAAAAAAATGAACATGAAGGAGTACTATCCAAACCTGTGCTAGTAGTTTCCTAGCCATTTCGACTTTTGCCATGTCTACTTCATCTGCAAAATAGCAAAATACTCATAATGACACCGTTTTCTCCAGAAAAGTCATGACCCTCTACCTGATAGATTATTTATTTTTATTCATTTGTTCTTCTCTTGCAGCCAGTACATTTTCACAACTCTGCTCCATTTTAAGTGCTGTGGAAATTTCTTTGGTGCGAAGATCACCTAAACAGCAACATATTTCAGGTTGTAAGCTTCCCCATGAACTCATGCGATTTTTTCTTCACTGTTTTCCCGAGACTATTCAGTAATGGAACTGGATGCAACTACTTCAGAAGTATGCTCGATTTCCGTGTTCATGGTTGGGCGTGTAATTCACGATTGTGATGTCACCAGATTATGAGGATCGATAGGATAGACCTTGAAGATAGAGGGTGCGGCTCCCCCACTTTCTTCACGATTTGGGGCGCGGCCGCGGCGAGCGCGGACGAGTCGATAGTGCCCGCGAACTGTGGTGGTGATGCGTTTTCAAATTTACCCACACAGTTCGCGGGCACTATCGACTCGGCCGCGCTCGCCGCGGCCGCGCCCCAAATCGTGAAGAAAGTGGGGGAGCCGGTGGCGGGATGCGTAAGCACTTCTCAATTTCTCGCGACTACAGCATCCTGAATAAAGCATACTCCCTGAACTGATACTGCACCTTGAGATGTTTAATACATTCTCGTCGGTGGCAGCCCATACGGCGTGCTAGGGACGTGTGCTCGGTCTCGGGGAACGGTGGCGTCCATATTGAGTGCCAGCTAAAATCGCTCACCAATCGTTCAAGTCGCAATTTTTGAGTATTTTCAGTACCAGTTATTCGATAGGAACCAATACATAACTATAAACATCAGAGTTCACTAAAAGGTTAGATGTGCTCCATTTTAGAAAAGTTCTTAGGAGCCGTATCAAATTGTTGGTTTGATCGAATCCACTTTTTTTTCCTTTCAGTCCCTCAAACATGTGAGTGAAAAGAGTGGTAGAGGTAAAAACAAAACTCAACGAATGAGAAACTAAGTACTTTCATCGGGAAAATCAAGGGAAAAGGCCTTAACTTCCCTGCGGCGAAATCGTAAAATTGCTGTCGTTATTCCGACTACATGTGATTTTCGATCGAAATTTTTCTAGTATATCCCTAGATAACCTCACTGCTAGAATACATGCAAAGTTCGGTATTTAAATAATTACAAGACAAAATCCACCGATGTGAAATGAGGCAACGGCGCCCACAAAATCGCGTCCGCGTCCAAAAAGCGCGGGCGCCGTCGTGAATATGTTCATGGGCATTCGCCAAATCCACGAAAATACGTATAGCCTCGGCAAAAACGCTGCCCACTTTCGCAATTTGAAATCGCCATTAAACAGAAAATCAGGGATACACCAAAAAGAGGCCCCAGCAATTCTAAGCTGAACCTTAAATCTGCACTTCTAAACAACTTCGAAGCTTCTACAGCCTCTGTACCAATGTAACTTGGCATTTGGTGTCCACCGTGAATGGAAAATTGCAATAATATCACGCTATGGCTAAACAGACACTGAATAAACATGTGTAAAACACAGTAACAAAAGAAACACTCACTGTAATGATCGCTTGGGAACGGATTCTCGCCGGATTCTGAAACCATTTCCTGTAGGCAAATTGCTTGAGATCGCTTGCATAGTGCCGAACTGATCATGGAAGGATCCATTTTTTGTTTAAGACAAGATCCTGCCTGAAACTCCTTGATAAAAAATAATTTGAAATGAAAACTTCGCGGCGACCGCGCCGCAAGACAGCCGCGGACGTCGAGCGGCTCGGAGCGCGAAAATCTCCGACATGAATCGACACACTCTTTCTTACGAACCTATGTCAGCCGTTCGTTCGCACTATTCGAATGAGGGAGTCTTATTCGAGCCTATGAAGAGGCCCGCTATGGAGTGAGTGGAAGTGGAGTGCGCTTGATCAAGCTCAAAATGGAGGTTCTTGCAGTGTTCCAACGTCATCTGGAGCCATGAGATTAAAGCCATTAGCTTGTTAAGTTTGGCAGTGAGGGTACTAGTCACGTATGGCAAAAGGGAGCGTTTCGATTCAAAGCATCAATTGCCAACCGTGAAGCGAACGAGGCGGAGGCTTGATAAGGTTGGTCCAGGAAAAAAATGGGACCACATTTTTTTCCGGACCAACCTTATCAAGCCTCCACCTCTTTCGTTCACCTCGTGAGGCGGTGATCAAGGCATACTTGTGCTACTAGATTCTAGAAGATGTTATGTATGTATCCGTAGGCATGGCAGTCGCACGACACTGACTTTGTCTGTCAGCAAAGCAGCGAGCATAAGCATTACACTTCTCACCTGCAAGAAT